TGGTCAGCATCTCTTTGATTTCCGCTGAAATCATCTCCTCCTGTTCCGAGGGAAGGGACAGTTCTCTGGGGACAGAAAGTTGGACAGGCAAAGAGACAAAGTCGAGGTGATAACCCCTTACCGACTGGAGCACCCAGGTATCTGAGGTCACAGCCGCCCAACCCTGGAAGAACAAGGCTAACCTGCCCGCCACCTGCTCTGGAGCGAGAAGGGAAGAATGGGTACTCACCATAAGGATGTCTGCCCGAAGTGGCACCACAGGGGTATCTGGAACCCCACGACCTCCCTCTAGCTGGGAAGAATTATTGCGATATGCCCTGGGGGTTCCCACTCGGATGACCGGGGATGGCGCAGGTCATCTGGGTCAAACAGGGGATTGCCCTGTGGATCCAACAGTGCTGCACCATCCCCGGTGGAGCCAGCCAGAAGACCCCGTGTAGTGTAGGGGGTCCCAGAAGGGGTGACACCTGTAGGTGGTAAATCCTCACCCGACTCTACCTCATCATAAGAGGCATAGTTCAGCACGTCTGAGTCAGCCTCCGCACTCCGGTCGGTATCCGACCCTTCCTCATGGGCCCTAGCCCGTTTCCATAGTCTAGCCTTTTTAGCACGGCCAGGGGCTCTTTTGCGCGTGGGAGGCACGCCATCTGTGACCACCTCAAGCGTGTCCATCATGGCAGGTACAACCTGCATCGAGGAGTGGGAGTCGACATGCTTAGCCTTAGCCTTACGGGCTCCAGGCATGGCAGGGGCAGGCGAGGGGGTCCCGACACCTAGGAGGGCGGGGGCCACCATACAGGGTAAAAGCATAGCTTGCAAGGACTGGGAAAACGATGAGGACACCGCTCCCATGGCAGATGCAAAGGCTTTCTGCAATGATGCCATAGTGGTGTCCAGTAGGGCTTGAAATTCTTGGGAGGCTACAGTACCCTCAGGATTCTCTTGGGTAAAGGCCTCAGCAAGGCCCTTGCATAGTAGCAGGAAAATTTGCAATAATATATATACAGGAATCCCTGAAAATAAACTGAGTAGCACAAATAGCAAGGTTGAGTAACCCACAGGAGAACAAACAAGAATAACCTGGCTGCTGATGTGCCCAGGTGACCCAGTGGCCTGCAAGATCGAGCAGCAGGCTGACCGCAAGTAGCAGAGAAAATGAGGCCGGCCGCGACAAGATCCGCCCCCAAAATGGCCGCCGCATGTGGAAGCCGGGCAGATACCGAGCGCGGCCTGTCTACAGGCGGGGGCAGCCCGCGAGAGCGAGGGGAGAGCCGCGGTCGGCTGAAAGCCGCGGCAAACCGCCGCCCGAAGCCCGCGCGCCACCCAGAGTAACGGCAGACGCAGTTACAGGGGAGCACGGGGCAGAATCTCCCCGGCGGGGAAACACATAAATGGGATTCTCCCCAGCCACACCACCAGAACTAATGATAGTTAGATAAACAGTAAACACAGTATAGCAATAAATAAACATGCACAGAAAACAGCACTAACAAGATACAAATCAAGGAATAGAAATTCACAAGAGGAACAAAATACTTAGCTGGTCTGAAGGAGCAGCAAAGAAAGAGGGGGATTGTGGGAGACACAGGCCTTTTATAGTCACTCCCTCTGTTATGTGATTGGTTACCTGTGTGCCTATACAGTTTTTTTCTTTCATTTTGATAATATTTATATTCCTCTATCTTTGCTGCTGAGGGAATAAAGAAAGAGTTATGCATAATATGAGCCTCCGTGCCTTTAATAAAATCCAAAGAGAAAAGAATAGTAGGGGAAACAAAACAATTGTTTGAAATCTAGCTGTAAATAGAGGTGTCTCCTGCACTCGTTTTCAGCAGAGGAACAAATACTTTGTATCTAAAAAGTAATGGTTTACAAGAGAACCATGGGAGGGCAAGCAACTGCCGCCTTGGCCACTATTATAGTGTGATGGGATTCCAGCATGGTCAAAATTTAGTAGGCCAAAATCTCCATGTGGCATATGTGTATGTTGTGTCAGTTAGTCAGCTACACATAGCTAGGATACTGTCATCAGTGTACTGAGCATGTGCAGGAATGCAGGAACTGAAATTGCACTTATTTCCTTTGTCTTGGATGAGCCATGTGGTTTGACTAGATGTACAAGTCTATAGTCTGCTCATTGATTGGTTAAAGGTATATGTGGGTGTAGCTATTAATGGGAGGAGTTATAGTGCTATATAAGGAATGTACACTATGTGTTGGTCTCTCAGAATGTTGGAACAGGAGTTCATCTGAGACCCGATCGGTAATGTGAATAAAGGCCTGTTACTTCCTGAAGACCTGTGTCCAATATTTCTGTGTTTGGCTTCTGCATGCTTACACTGCAACAATAGGAGGGCTGGCGGGCAGCTGCATCCATAAAACATTCTTCTAAAAATGAAAGTATCAGAAGTTGTATTGGGATGTATGTACACAATTCAAAAAATATTAAAGAACAAAAGCTTAAACTTACCTCTTTTCCATTATTAAGTTCTACACTAACTGAGTGGGAGTGTGTCGAAAAATTGAGGGTTGGAGAGGGATGGCTTTCTGGCGCCAATCAGGGCCGGATTAACATAGGGGCTGATGGAGCTGCAGCTCTAGGTCCATGCCCATGGAATAGGCCCATTGATTTAAAAATATATATATATTTTTTTTTTTACACACTTCTCTTAGGGTTGCCACCTGGCCGGTATTTATTTGAGGCTGCCTGGCCGGTGCCGATATTGCAGTAATACCAGCAATACAAATGCCGGTATTTTTCTCTGTAAAAACAGAGATTACTCTGCAATACCAGCACCGGCCACTCGCTGTGTGTGGGGACAGGCAGGGATAGAAAGTTACAGCATATACCTGCATCTCTCTACTCACTGATCCGCGGGGGAGTAGCTACACAGCACAGAGAGTGCAGACAGCAGCTCCCCCAGTCTGCAAAGACAGCCTACAGCTCAGGGAAATGAGGGATGGGGTAAAGGCTACATGGAGACATGGGGACACTGAGACACTAGGGACACTGTGAAACATGCAGACACAGGGACACCTCTGAGGACCTTGAGACACTTGGAGACACGGGGACAAAGACACACATGGGGACATAGACACTGGGCAACATGGGGACATTGGGAGCAATCCATCTATATAGCAGAATCAAACTGTAAGTAGATTTTACAGAATTTTCACAAGTTACTCCTTGTGATTTACATCATGTGATGTCACGCATACATAATAAGTTATGCAACTTAGTAAGGCCTGTGTTTTTTTTCCAAGAATGGTGGCAACCCTAACTACTCTTCACATACTCTCGCTTAAGTATGGAAACTTAAGAGAGATACATGGAAACAAAACTTTTGTGGACTGGCTGACAATGAAATTAGTTAGGGTAATGCTGACTTTGGTCTCTCTAACACTGTGGCATGTCCCCTTTCTTCTACACTCACTACATCCACCTTTTCTCTGTCTCAGACTGTATACCAGGAGCTTTTGCCTGCTAGTAAGAAGGTAAGGAGACAAGTGGACACGTGGGTGCTAGGGGACAGTCCTTAGAAAGCATGGAGCGAGCGCATCATTTATGCCAAGCTCAGGATGCTGTTGACCAGCATGCATGATTGGCAGGCAGCCTGACATGCATTCATGCCAAGCTAGCCTTCCAATTCTTTGGGCAGACACGCCTCCTTTTTGGGCATGTTCGTCTCTTTCGGGAGTTCTGGTTACATGATCTGCGTCAGTGGCCCACCCTTTTACACCGCCCATTGACTTCCTGCTTTACTGGACACTGCTGTCAGGGGGTATGGATTTACTTAAAAGATGAAAGCATGAATTAGAGAGAGATTAGCATATTTTAAGAGAATCTGAGTTTTCTTATACCTGCATTCAGTGGCGTACACACAACCCCTGGGGCCCCAGTGCGAAAACTGATCCGTGCGCCCCCCTGCGCATTTACGCTGCGTGGGCTGGGGCCGCAACACATGGCGGCGGGCACCTGGTCGCAGGGGTCGCAGGGCAGATACACATACACTTAAAGGACCACTACAGACACCCAGATCACATCAGCTCAATGCTTCCCAGGAGAAGAGTCTGGCCACACTGGCGTACATAACGTCTTTGCAGGGCGGCCGGGCACCCTGGTGGGCCAGCCCGGTCGCAGCCGTGACACCTGCGACCCCGGTATGTACGCCACGGCCTGCATTCTATGAGTTTCCCTCATGCAACATCACCACCAGATACATAACACTTGAGAGGTATGACTGTATTAGTGTTTTTGGTCGATACGATTCTGTACTTAGGCCCCTCATAATTGTCAGCACCAGGCCCACTGGGCTCTTAATCTGGCACTGGGGCCAATATGCTGCTAGCATCAGACACCAATTTTGAACAGAATTGATATTCGTTGCCCCGTACTCTTGTTCTGGGCTGTCTAATTACTCCCAATCACGGTGCCGGAGGTAAAGTCACAACGGCAGAGGGGTTCATTTCCATATGTGCAGTGTTAATTACTGAAGTGCTGCACATACAGACTCCAGGCACCATTACCACTTTAAATCACTAAAGTGGTCATGGTGCATGGAGTAACCCTTTAATCCTAATCTGAGCTGTGGTCTGATGTTGTGAAAACATTAGGGTATGTAGATTTGCCTCACATAAAATACTACAGGGGGTATATGGTCTGGGTTTTCTTGTGTAATGATGCTTTGTATTGATATAAGGATATCAAAGAGTATCGAGACTTACATTGAGTACAGATAAAGGGGCGATGTGCTAATAAACCAATAATAGCTCATGAGTCGGGTTTTGGTTTGATGTGATGTTTTTGGCTAGGGAACCCTAAGTATGTAGGGTTACTTTGGCTTGCTCACACATCCAAGGCTGTACCATGTAACCAGGAGCGTTTACCATTTCACTAATTTCTAAAGTGCAAAACTATCCATTAGCACATGCACACATATGGACACAAACATTTACTTACTGTTTAATAAAAAAAAAATTAATTTCAAAAAATATATCAGCCCTATTATTATATTATTTATAGCCATATTATCATAATTATGTATGATAGTATTTGTTATATAAAATTGTAATACATAACTTTGATTAATCATCATGATAAATCTCTTTTATTACAATTACAAATTGTCAACTGTAGAAAGAAACATTGGTTAATAAGAACTAAACAGTTAACAGTGACTATATTCTTTAGTAAAATAAACATTTGTGCACCAAATCACATTACTCCATTTACGGATGGATATGTTTTTAAACAGAATTACATTTTTTATTAAACAGGAAATGTCACTTCTCAGGAATGTTGATCATATGTTTACGTATCCCCTATATTCTAACAAATGTGTATTTGTGGGGTATAAAAAATAAAATCAATTGTAGAAATCAACACCTCTTTATTCTGTAACTGGATACCTCGACCTTGGCAGTCAGCACAGAGTTAACATACTCAACATTCCATCTTGTCTATATAAAGTTTATAGCCAGATAGCCTGACGTAGTCTTCTAATAGCACCAATAATGGTGAGATTGTTTGGACTGGATCGGTAATGGTCAATAGGAGATGGTCCATATATGTTGCAACCTAGTATTCTTGGGATCAGACTGAGATACTCGTAATTAACAGCATAGTATAAATCATTTGTAGGAGTGGTTCTAAGGAGAGTGCAAAGAGTATGGGGGTAACGAGCATCCTTTTCTGTACCATTAAATATTGTAAAATTTGGGGAATTTGTGTGTATTATCAAAAGGCTGGCAGTTGGGTTCGAGTATATTTCTCTTAATGCATTGAGAAAAGGTTGGGGGAAATTAAATCGTTTTAAGGTTGTGAAGAGGAATCCAGCATCCAGCGATAGGAGGAGTGGGAATGTTTTTTTTTTCATCAGCCACCACATCAGGTCCAGGGTTCGTTGTGTATTATCACTTGACTTCCTTATGGGAATAAAGCCCACCTGATCTGGGTGGACTAGCAATGTCAGATATGGTTGGAGTCTATTTGTAAGCATTTTAGTAAAAATCATACTGTCTACATTTTGTAGTGAAATTGGACTATAGTATGCCTGGTCTAAATAAGATTTGCTGGGTTTAGGAATAAGGCATATATTCGCCTTGTAGTATTGCTGTGAATAATTTGCATATGTGGGGTTTGAGGATATCCAAAAATGTTTTATAGTAAATGCCTGAAAACCCATCTGGGCTTGGGCTTACATATAAATGTAAAATAAAATGGAACATCTCACGAAAAAGACATATATTATAGGTGATTTATTTTTAATGAGCTGGTTCACTTTAAAGGACCACTATAGGCACCCAGACCACTTCAGTTTAATGAAGTGGTCTGGGTGCGTGGTCCATCTAGGGTTAACCCTTTTTTTTTTATAAACATAGCAGTTTCAGAGTAGGTGCTATGTTTACACTGAGGGTTAATCCAGCCTCTAGAGCCTCTAGTGGCTGGCTCATTGACAGCCGCTAGAGGCGCTTGCGTGCTTCTCACTGTGAAAATCACAGTGAGAAGACGCCAGCATCCATAGGAAAGCATTGTAAATGCTTTCCTATGAACTGGCTGAATGCGCGCGCGGCTCCTGCCGTGCATGCGCATTCAGCCGATGACATCGCTAGGAAGGAGGAGATTAAAGCTCCCCGCCTGGCGCTCGAGAAAGGTAAGATTTTAACCCCTTCCTCTCCCCAGAGCCTGGCGGGAGGGGGACTCTGAGGGTGGGGGCACCCTCAGGGCACTATAGTGCCAGGAAAACGAGTATGTTTCCTGGCACTATAGTGGTCCTTTAATATCAAATAAATTGGTCCAGGTGTCATAGTATATGATTCAGTGCTAATTCCTGTTGATCACCTGATATACTGGATCCCCTACTCTTAATTTGCCTGTCTGCTCCACACCATAGTACTGCCCAAAGAGAGGTGCAGTTTTATACAGGTAACTCAGGGAGGAGTCACTATTCCTATAGGTTCTTAGTGTATCCAGCGGTTCCTTGCGTGTCAAGACTCCAGTTTCAGGGTTCACAGTAGTTAAGATGCAGCGTCCACATGCCATGATCCTCTTTAGTTGACATTTGCCCACCTTGACATCATTCCAAGCATCCTCTGCAAAGGCCTCACAGCCAGATACCACTATACAAGGCCTGAAATTCCCCAAAGAGACTGGTTCTGCAAGACGGCTATTGAGATCTTCCAGGGATGTCTCAGAGAGAAGCATAATGGGGCTGGCATCAGGATAAGCAATGACATCTGTCTCTCGGAACAGCTTCTCCTTTTCTTTGGATTTGCGTGGACGCATTATGTCTGCTTCAAAATGCACCAAGTAGTAAGGCTGACTGCTTTGAAAATAGGATGTGAACCAGTGAGAAGCTTCTTCCCCACAATCTCGGCCTTGAACATCACTTCCAAACACTCTGCAGTCCCGCACTTTGTTGCTTTTGGGAAGTGACATGGGAACTAGGAGCTCATCCATCCCTTCACCTTTAAGGCACAAAGAGTCACCACGAACGCTCACAGAGATGAGGACCATACGAGGTTCCTGTCTGCCGGTCACCATATGCCCATCTTCGGTCACGACCAACCAATGCCTGTCCCTAAGATCTCCTTTATAGAGACCAAGCTCCATGCAGTCTGCTTCCTGCACTGACACTGGTCGACATGACTTGATGGGGTAAATCAGTAGTTGGGACACAATTCCCACCTGCTTCAATTCTAGCTCCTCACCTCGCCTCCGCCTCCACCACATCCAAGAGGCAATAGCTGTGAGCCCCACGCCCGCTGCACAGAGCAACGGTAAGCGTTGGCGTGGGAAGGCCTGCACAGCAGACTGTATGGCTGCAGTAATGTTTGAGGCATAGGAAAGAAGAGAGGTAGACATTTTAAAGAAATATGTGTGGCTCAAGGTTTAACGTTTGATATCAGTCACGTGATAAATGTCCAATGGAGGGATTCAAGCACTAGGGTACAATCAGATTGGAATCGACTTCCTGGAAATGAAAGAGAGTAAGTGTTCAGTTTATCACCAAAGCTATTTGGATTATCTAGTGAGAGGTAATATGAAAGTCAAGTTTACAAAAAAAAAAAAGCGTGAAAAGCTAAACACAATTTTATTATAGAGGCACTATAGTGTCAGGAACACAAATATATATGCCTGACACTATAGTTCTAAAACCACCATTTAGGTGGTCGGCCCCCCATTACCTTGGGTTAAAAAGGTGATTTACTCACCTTTCTCCAGTGCAGCGCTGGGCTCCTCGCGTATGGCCCGCCCTGATCCGCTTCCTTGGTTGACATTATCAGAATTGATGAGGTCAGTCAATCACAGTGCTTTCTCATAGGAAAGCATTGGATTGGCTGAAATCATCAATTCTGATGATTTCAGCCAAGGAGGCAGGGTGGGGGCAGAGCCAATCAGCATCTCCTCATAGAGATGCAATAAATCAATGCATCTCTATGGGGAAAGGTCAGCGGACTGCAGAGACTGATCCAGGAAGCACCTGATCCGCCTCCTTGGCTGACATCATCAGAATTGATGAGCTCAGTAAATCACAATGCTTTCCCACAGGAAAACATTGGATTGGCTGAGATCATCAATTCTGATGATTTCAACCAAGGAGGCAGGATGGGGGCGGAGCAAGAGACCAGACCAATCAGCATCTCCTCATAGAGATGCATTGAATCAATGCATCTCTATGGGGAAAGGTCAGCGGCTCCATGGGGAGTGGCCGCTAGAGGTGTTCCTGGGTTGTAATGCAAACACTGCCTTTTACATTAAAAAGCCTGCAGGGACTGGCCAGTACATCTACAATAAACTGTAGCTGTTCTGGTGACGATAGTGTCCCTTTAATATACATTATTTTATTCTATTTTGTTGTTTGTCTTTTTGCTGGCAAATGTTGGCAATGTTAGACCTCTCCTAAGAAAACCATCAAGCTACCAGTGGTAGCTGGTGACATTTTAAGTTGGTGGTTAACTAGACTTGACCCCTTGGATTCACGTCTGCCCCCTCTGTTCTGGTTTTATTAATTAACCGGAATATGCCTACATGGCACTATTATTTAAAAATATGCAGACAGTCCTGATATTTGCAATAATACTACCTATTCATGAGTTAAATTAATAGGGAATGTGATGTTGAGACGTATAGGGATACTCCACGGCCCAAATACAAAGTAAATAAAATCACTGTTTAGTAGATATAACCCAAATAAAAACATGCCAGGATTTAATTATGCATTTTTTCATTGGGGATAAATCTAAAAACAGCTTGCAAAACCTGCAGTTCTCTTGTCGGCTGCCTTTGCAAGCCCTCCCCTTTTCCCCTTGCGCTGACTTTCTGTGCAGCTCAATGAGAAGTCTTTGCAAGGCAGGTGTTCTGGGTAATTGCTGCCTCTTGAGGTTAGTTCCAATGAGCTAAACAAACCAGGAAGTAAAATTACCTGATGTCTGATTGAAAGCCAGGGGATGTAACCAGGTTTCTTTTGCTAAATGAAAACATAGGACAAACTCTTCACACATAAAGCTTTTCAGCAAGCTAAATTGCTTTACAGCTCTGTATTGTCCCTTTAACTTTTTATTAGTGATGTAACTCAGAACTGATTATGGTGCTTGGAGTAACTCTTTCATTTGAATAAGGAGTTTATTTTGTATAGGTTGTTCCTTTAACCCCTTAAGGACCAAACTTCTGGAATAAAATGGAATCATGACATGTCACACATGTCATGTGTCCTTAAGGGGTTAAAGGGACACTATAAGCACCCAGACCACTTCATCTCAATGAAAAGGTCTGGATTCCATGCCCTCTCCCCCTCCCCATGTCACCATTTTAACCCTGCAGTGTAAAGCATTGTAGTTCTGCAGGAATAGCAATGTTTACATAGCAGGTTTTAAATGCCTTTTTATTCCTTACAGCACGCATCTAAAAGGTGACTAAGACACTAGCGCATATTACGCATTTGTGTTTCTAACACTATAGTGTCCCTTTAAGAAATATTTATACATTCTAACATCTGTCCTGGGGCAAAGTGCTAAATGTTGCAATACAATTAGCTGCCTTCCCTTGTGATTTCTCCTCATTTAGCATTTCACCCCAAAACTGCAGCCATCTCCACCTGAGTGTAAGGCAAAGCTTGGGCAATTCTAAGTGCAAATATAGAGTTATTCTATTGGTTTCTATGGTGATTTCATTTTATGTAATACCTTAAAATAGCACCTGTTTGCCATGGTCGAAATATGCATAAATGTTCTGATCAAATATCAGGAGCTAGATTCAAATAGTAGCAGAGCAATTCGAAAATTGAGAGCTTTTTATATTTTGAGACATTTGGTAACATTAAGAACTCACTCACCATAAATAAGCAAGCTGTGATCTTCCCCGGGGGCCTGCAGAATGACTTCGTCCACAGTAATGTGCAACCAAGTCCCTTTCACTCAGAATTGCTAGTGACGTTTGCTCAGTCCAGCCTTCTTTACCCAGTTTTCCTCAGGAATTTACAGCCTAATCGGATGAACCGTGCAAAGTGCAGAGCTGTGTTTGCTAGAAAACTGCTTGAACTTGGTAATGTGTAAGAACAAAATGCACATGGGAATAATTTAAGGAACCCCATTATGTTAATTCATTATAGAAAGCATTAAAACGATGCCAAACAAATAAAAAAGCATTGTGCTCATCAACAGTTTAATCTATTACAGAAGAAGGGATGTTTAGACTGTAATGCATGGATTGATGCATGGAATCTTAAGTGTCAAACAAATGATTCCACTTTCTGACCTGCCCGGTTACAAAAAGGTCCAAGGATGATGTTATGATTTCAATATCAATGAAGTGGTCTGGGTGTCATGTCCCCCCGCTCCCCTCCCCCCCCGGCCTTGTTTTAACCCTACAAGTGAAATTCTTTCTGTTCTGCAAAAGGGCAATGGTTTCATTGTAGGGATTAAATGCCTCTAGTGGCTGTGACTAAGACAGCAACAAAAGGCTCTTTCTCTGAAATAGCAGGGCAAAACTCTTCTATTTCAGTCAGCTGGCCTCCGAGAGTCCATCTGATTCCCGCAGCACAGTGTTTTACGACACATGCGCACAAGCCTCCCAATGTTGCCAAAGCTTTGGATTGCCTGAGACTACCGATCTCGATAATCTCCGCCAAGGAAGCTAAGCTTCCCTGCAGAGGCTGGCGCTGGGAGGGAGAAAAGTTAAGTGACATACATTTTTTACTCCCTGAAGATGGGGACAGGAGACCTAAACGACAAAGAGACACTATAGCATTAAGAATACACATTTGTGTAACGCTACAGTGTTCCTGTCATACTGCTAGGATTAGGGCAGATAGGATGCATTTTGACTTCTTGGTAAGTATAGAATCCTTTTTCTGGAAACATTTCAATCCCTATTCAGTCTTTCTTGACCTTCACACAAGTTTATCTCATACTGACAGGTTATTCACTACACAACAGATTTTTGGATAGACAAAATCCAGTGACAATTACTGAATTCTGATCACAATGGTAATTCTTCTAATTACTATAGTCAAATATAGTCAGAGTTCGGTGGGCCTGAATGAATCCGCAGCAATCGCCCAGATGTATTCGGTGTTCAATTCCAAATCAGTGCTTTTACATCCGTAACCCTCTCTAGAAACGATTTGAAATTTGGAATATTCACAAAACACAGGTGTTGATAAAATTCAGAATCTAATGCATCCATTTGGATACACAAATGACCAAAAGTGACTTGCTTTTTTGCAAGTGAATGATAATTTTAGGTGCAGCAGGTGGGGGCATATCTGCTAAATGTCTAAAATTATCGACTGGGCAGCCATTGCTGCCACTCCCAAAGTAGGGTGACCAGACCACATTAATTCTGTTCTAACCGCCATCAGACTGAAAGAATCCCTTTGAAGAAATGTCAGGGTGGAGGGCAGGCAAGGATCTGCATGAGCAGCAATTGCCCCTGGAACATTAGCATGCAGAGTTGAGGGCTGCAGTCGCACAGCACAATTAATTTTTTTATTAAAAGCAGCTGGAGATATTTTGAAATGTCTGGCAGCACAGTTCAGCAGGAATGAGGCCGCAGGCAGGACTGCAGGGATTTGAATAATGTTGGTCTGTGCTTGGGCTCATGGCATTCCCCACTCCAGGACTGGGATATTACCTCACAACAATTTAAACGCACAAAGGGGGTGTGTGAATGGGGGTGTTGCTGGGGATGGGCTGTTCTGAGAAATTTCAGATGAGATAATTTATGTAACTAAATGTAATTTAGAAAAAGAACAGTTTATTTTATTTACACAGACTGATTTCTAAATACATGTACAACAGTTTAAAGACACATTGCTGTCTATGTGGAAACTTGCTGCACATGCGCACATTTTTATAATGGTTTGACTTCTTACCTGGGATCTAGATCTGCTGGGTACCACTGTCTGCATCCACTACATCTAATTCAGATCCGGACACTCTCTGTCTAAGCTAAGCCTGGCGGTAGTGATTATGGCATTCTGTAGTGATTATGGTACTTGGACGGTTTCTTTAAACGTATGAGATAAATTCTGGGGTTTGGAAGATGAAAAATGGTGGAAAAGGGGGTGTTGGTGTTAGCAAAAGATGGTAAACAGAAAGAAATAGTTTAGTAAACAGATAAATTTTAAGTTGGAGCATTATAAGGAAGGTGATAAAGTGAATCACTATGTGAGAGAGAAGATGGTAGTGAGTTAAGGTAGCAAACTGAAGATGAAATGGGGAATTAGAGTTCAAGAAAAGATAGAGTGGCAGATAACTAGAGATCACACACCCGTTAAGAATGGCTTGACGGTGTATGTTGTCATGCAGTGCAGGGCGCTTTAACGCCCTTTGACAGCATAGACCATCATGCAGTAAAAGAACCAGCAGAGGATAAATCCCTGCTGGTACCTAGGAACTCAAGGTATCTTTTGATATCTGAGGGTCCCCCAAGGCTGTCCTGGGCACGTGCACGTGGTGCACCGTGCTGAGACACCAGGAAGTGGAGGGCGCCGCGAAGAGAGGGCAGATGGAGTGTGACAAGGAACCCAATTATGACTAATTCCGTCCCAGCACCACTGCGTGTGAGGGAGCAGGATCGGAGACCTCCAGAGAGAAGATCCTCACTGGACCCCAGAAAGAGGACCCACACCAGCTCTCCAAAAGGTAGGGAGGCTCTACAGGGCTCAAAAAATAAATTAATAATAAGTAAAATGTATTTGTGAGTGTGTGTGCAAGAACGTGTAAATGTGTGAGTGTGTCTGTCAGTGAGTGTATGTATAGATAAGTAAATTAGGTCCAGTCACTCAGGATTGCTGCAGAAAGGCAGGTTTATTGGGACAATAAAGTGCAACATTTCAGCCTATGCAGAATCCGGAAGCGCCCTTAGTGGCTGTCTTGCAACAGCCACAGTCTGGCAGACAGCCACTGGTGGTAGACTTAGGGTGCAAAAGGGACATAGCACCCAGACCACTTCAATTAGCTGATGTGGTCTGGGTGCCTACAGTGTCCCTTTAAACTCTCTCACTGTGTTAACTTCTACCAATTCAGCTGGAAGGCTACTCTGTGCATCCACTACCCTCTCAGTAAAGTAATACTTCCCGATATTATTTTTAAACCTTTGCCCCTCTAGTTTAAGACTACGTCCTTTTGTTGTGGTAGTTTTTCTTCTTTTAAATATAGTCTCCTCCATTACTGTGTTGATTCCCTTTATGTATTTAAATGTTTCTATCATATCCCCCCTGCCTCGTCTTTCCTCCAAACTATACATGTTAAGATTCTTTAACCTTTCCTGGTAAGTTTTATCCCGCAATCCATGAACCAGTTTAGTAGCCCTTCTCTGAACTCTTTCCAAAGTATCAATATCCTTCTGGAGATACGGTCTCCAGTACTGCGTACAATACTCCAAGTGAGGTCTCACCAGTGTTCTGTACAATGGCATGAGCACTTCCATCTTTCTACTACTAATACCTCTCCCTATACAACCAAACATTCTGCTAGCATTTCCTGCTGCTCTATTACATTGTCTGCCTACCTTTAAGTCATCTGAAATAATTACCCCTTAATCCCTTTCCTCAGATGTTGAGGTTAGGATTCTATCAAATATTCTGTACTCTGCCCTTGGGTTTTTACGTCCAAGATGCATTATCTTGCACTTATCCACATTAAATGTGAGTTGCCAAAACTCTGACCATTTTTCTAGTTTACCTAAAACATTTGCCATTTGGCTTATCCCTCCTGGAACATCAACCCTGTTACATATCTTAGTATCATCAGCAAACAGACATACCTTACCATCAAGACCTTCTGCAATATCACTAATAAAAATATTAAAGCGATTGGGTCCAAGTACAGATCCCTTAGGTACCCCACTGGTAACAAGATCATGCTTCAAATATACTGCATTGACTACAACCCTCTGTTGCCTGTCACTCAGCCACTGCCTTACCCATTAAACAATATTGGAATCCAAACTTAAAGATTGCAGTTTATTGATAAGCCTTCTTTTTTTTTTCAAATTGAAGTGTTTTTATTTTGATGGCATAATAATGTTAAACACAAAACATTGCGATGTAAAAGCATGAAGTTGCCTGCGCAGAGGCTGATTTCGCAAGGTAAGTGTACACCAATGAACAATAGATATGCAAATACTTTGCCAGAGTATGTATGTCTAAGGCAGTACAGAGTGCAAGGTACAATTATGTGGGTAAAGGTTATATTGCCCAATTATATCGTATACAGTGCTGTTAACAGTGCTGATATGTCCTGCTGAGAGTATGACTTATGTGCGGGCTCTCTGGCCCCTACTTCGTCCAATTGCCCGTTGTGGGAGACCCTCGGGTCTCTAGTGGTCAGTGTGTCATGTATCATCTGGGGCCTGCAGGTCCCGTTGTGCCTGTCTATGGGGCTCTACGTATGTCCGTGTATTTCAGTGTTTTTGTCAGTTTTCGGTGCGTTCAATGTAAGGGTGAGCGAAGGTTCCAGTGTGGCTTCGCCTAACAGTCAGTCTGATGTCCGTCGGTGACGGGTGAAGTAGGTGGGGATAAAGAAAAAAGGGGGGTTATCCCCACGGAGGCCCTCTGGCGGGGTCCGGTTGGTAAGCAAGGCTTCCATATGTGAGTCTCGCAGGTGTTAGTAATCTGTTCTTACAGTGGTCTGGGGTCTCAGGTTCAGTCAGTCTTCCCCTAGTGTGTCCAGGAAGTTATCTCCTGATGTTGTCAGAATCCAGTGCGTCCAAATGTCTAGGTATCGCTGTGCCCTATCTGTAGCCGTCAAGTGTAGGTCTTCCGTCACCCTGAGGTCCTCCATTTTCGCGAACCATTCCCTAAGGGTAGGGGGCTCAGTGTCCCTCCAGTGTAGGGGGATGAGTTGTTTGGCAATATTTAGTATCCTTATGGTCATAGATCGTTTGTAGATATTGCTAGGCCCCGCAGTATGGTGTAGGAGCATTGCTGCCGGTTCAAAGGGTGGAGGGTGGTCTGAGAATTTCTGTATGAGTTTGTGTATCCCCCGCCAGAAGGGTTGCATCTTCTCGCAGGACCACCAGATGTGTATGTGTGTCCCCGTTCCTGTCCCGCATCGCCAGCAGTGTGCAGGGTGGTCTGGGTGTATGTTGTGTAGGACGTCCGGGGTGCGATACCAGTGCGTGAGCAATTTATATGCAGTCTCCTGGTGTCTGCTGAAGACCGCGCAGTGGTGTGTCAGTGTGCAGATTTTGTCCCATTCCCCATCGCTAAATTTTCGGTTCAGGGCCGTTTCCCACTTTCCCTTAAACCTAGGTGTTTCCACTGGGATCTGTATTTGTAGTAGGCTGTATAGTTTGGATATCCCGTGTGGGAGTGGTTCTGGGTCGAGGCATAGTTGCTCGAATTCCGTGGGGGTGCGCCGTAGGGCCTCACCCTGGGGTAGGGTCTGAAGATAGCTTGTCAGTTGCGCGTATGTGAACGTCTGTATGAAGGTCGGGGCCGATCTCCCGTGAGGTCTGAGAGGGACTTCCGGCCTGATGTCGTGTAAATGTGGTGGAGCCTAGGTAGCTGGTCTGGGATAATGCTCCTAAGGACTAGTGGGTCGAGTCCCGGTGGGAACTCTGCATTATGTGTCAAGGGAAGTAGGGGTGATGGGTATGGGGTCAGGCCAGCTCTGTCTGCTATACTGTGCCACACTTGCAGGGTATTCCTCACGTATGTGGGTGTCTTGTCTCACCTCCCTCTAGGTAGCCATGGTGCTAGTGTTATGGGAATCTGCAGGTCTGCCTCCTCTACTGACTTCCATTGTTTGTGGACGTTAAGTTTCGACCATTCTACTATTCTAAGGAGATGGCACGCTATGTAGTATAAGTGGAAGTCTGGCAGTGCCATGCCTCCCTTGTCCCTTGGTTGTGTGAGTTGTGAGAATTTTAGCCTAGGTTTCTTCCCTTTCCATACGTATTCTCTCATGGTCCTGTGTAGGGTTGTAAAGTATGTCCTAGGGATCCGTAAGGGTATTGTCTGCATCAGGTATAGTAGCCGTGGTAGGAAGTTCATTTTAATAACTTGGACCCGGCCGAACCAGGAGATGTGGGGTATGACCATTCCCCGGCATCTCTCTTGAGTGTGGTCAGCATCTGGGCAAAGTTTTCCTTAAAAAGGTCCGTGTTGTTTCGCGTGAGCCAAATGCCCAGATACCTAATTTTAGAGTCTGCCCATTGGAATGAGAAGCTCTGGCGGAGGGGTGTTTCCCGTTGGTGGGGTATGGATATGTTAAGGATGTATGATTTGGCAAAGTTGATTTTCATATTTGAAATTTCCCCGTAGTCACGGAAGGCTTTAATAATATTGGGGAGTGAGAGTTCAGGTCTGGAGACAAAGAAGAGAAGGTCGTCGGCGTAAGCCGCAACCTTGTGGTGTATGGTGCCCTTAATTATCCCCGTGATGTCCTGGTTCGTTCTGATCGCTTGTAGGAATGGCTCTAATGCTAGGACGAAAAGGATTGGCGACAGGGGACATCCCTGCCTGGTGCCATTTTGTATCGTGAAGTCTTCTGTGGGAAGTCCATTCACTAGTATCTGGGCTTTGGGTTGCCTATACAGTGCCTCAATCCAGCCTCGCATGTATGCCCCTATGCCGAGGTGCGTGAGGGCCTGGAATAGGTAAGTCCACCCAATCCTGTCGAAGGCCTTCTCCGCGTCCGTGGATAGCAGGAGAAGGCCCCCGCCCCCCCCGCCCCCCCGTGGGCTATTGACAGAGCTCGAATCGTGTTGTCCCTGGCTTCCCGTCCCATCACGAATCCCACCTGGTCCGGGTGTACCAGGGTGGGCACGTGTGGCTGCAGGCGGGTCGCCAGGATTTTCGCTAAGAGCTTCGTGTCGCTATTTATGAGGGAAATAGGTCTATAATTGTTACAGTAATCGCCATCCTTCCCTTCTTTTGGGATGAGCGTGACGTGTGCCCGTAGGGACTGCGGGGGCAGGTGGTGTCCCTCCCGGATCGCGTTGAAAGAGGACAGCATTGGTGCGTATAGGGTCCCCGCGAAGCTTTTATAGTAGCGTAGTGGGAGGCCGTCGGGGCCCGGGCTTTTGCCCAGTTTGGAGGCCTTGACTGCCATCGCTATTTCTTCTATAGCGATGGGTTCGTCCAACGCGTCTGCTATTTCTTGTTCCATTTTCGTGTGTGTGTGTTGGTGTGTAGGAAGTCTGTTATCCGGGCCGCGAGGCTGGCTCGAGCGTGTGCGTCTTGTGGGTTCAGTAGGGAGTAGAGGTCCATGTAGTAGGAGCGTATGATCCTGTGTATATCAGTGGGGAGGCGGTGCGTTATTCCCTTCCTGTCCTTAATTCTGTCTATATATGTCAGCTGTCTACGTTTGGCCAGCATTCGTGCTAACAGTGTACCACTCTTGTTGCTATGCGCCTCAAAAAATGCTTTTTGTCTGGCGGCTTCTCTATGGTGGCTGGCATTCAGGAGTGTGGACAGTTCCCTTCTCAGCTCGAGTAGCTTAGCCTGGTGTGTGGGGAGGTTGTCCCTTTTGTTACTGTCGTCTGTTGTCTGTATGTCATGTATTAGTGACGTGATACGGGCTTCTCTTTGTCTCTTGAGCCTCGACCCCTTGCGCATAAAGTGGCCCCTAATCACGCATTTATGTGCCTCCCAGATGTATGTGGGCGACGTTTGGTCCGGGGTGTTAGTCGTGAAGTAAACCTTCAGGATCTCATCCGTCTCTGTCCGGACATCCGGCAGGGACAGCAGGTAGTCATTCAGTCTCCATTTTGTCTCCCTCGGCCTATATACTGGGGAGGAGAGAGTGAGAGTCACCGGTGCGTGGTCAGACCAGGTCGCCGTTCCCACCTCCGTTGTCTTCACCAGGGCTAGGTGATGGTGTGTCGTAAAGAAATAGTCTAGTCGTGAATATGTGTTATGTGGTTGGGACAGGAACGTATAGTCCCTTTCGTCTGGGTGGTGTGCTCTCCAGCAGTCTATGAGCTGCGAGCGTTTTAGTAGGGCTTTTATGTGGGTTAGGTGTTGCGTCGGGACCCTGGATGACCCGGAGGATGAATCCCATTTAGGGTCCATTGTCAGGTTGAAGTCCCCTCCCAAAATCAGTATGCCCTCTGTGAAAGTTTGCAATTTACGCATGGTGCGGTGGAGGAACCTGTAGTGCCTTTGATTGGGGGCGTATATGTTGGCGAATGTATATGTGGTTTCGGCTATGGTGCCCTTCAGGAACAAGTATCTTCCGTCTGGGTCTGACTTAGTCTCCGTTTCATGGAATGGTACCCGTTTATGGATCAGTATGGCGACCCCTCTCGATTTGTTTTCCTTGTAGTCGCTATAGTACCCTTGGTGTATCTGTGGTTAGTCAGTTTGGGCCGGAGCCCTTCTTTGAAGTGTGTTTCCTGAATAAAAACCACGTCCATTCTGGATCTGTGGAAGTCTCTCAGTGCGCTCGTGCGTTTCTCGGGTCTATTGAGCCCCCTGGCGTTTATCGTGGTGATGTTGAGGCCCTTAGAGGACCCCAGGGTGTCAGTCTAGGGGAGGTAGTCTAGGAAAGAAGGGGCGGGGAGGTAGGGGTGAGTAGTCTGTCTGTAGTGAACCAGCGTCCGCCTGGGCGCTGTCTAGGATGTGGGTTGCCCGGGCAGGGCTAGTCGCCTACCCGCCAGGGGTGCGAGGCGACCCACTGCCCGGGGTCAGTAGCCCCCTCCTGTTGGGGGTCGAGGGAGGTCACGAGTCTCGTGACAGCACCTGTGAGTGTGCGGGCTATTGTGGAACCAATCTCTTAAGTCCTGGAGTTCACGTCCCATGTCATCCCCCGTCGGCTTGTTACGTGTAATAGTAGCCTGTGCGTTCCTCGCTGCCTAAAGCGTGGCCCTAGGCCATGGAGCTTCAATGCGTGTCGAGTCTCTAGTGAATTAGAGTGTAGTTTGTGTGGGTGCGTTTACAATAACCAGTTAACATTTGAACCTTGAAACATTGGCAGAGACATAAACAATATGACAAGAAAACTTTGCCTCAGCTTGGCACTATGTGCCCGTTGCCCCCCGGGGCCCGCCCCCCCCGCCCAGCAAATTCCCCCCCCCCCACAGCAAAATCACCCGCCCGTGTCCGCCATCACCTCTCTCCCCGGGGGCCCGGGCCCCCCCCAGGCTGGGCCGGGCGCCCCCCCCCCCTGCGCGCTCTCCTGTACGGGTCGTCACGCGTCAGGGCAGGGGACCCCCGACCCGGCCGGGGGGCACAGACCACTGTACTCCCTCCCGCTCCCCACCGACCCCCCCCAGCACCCCGAGTCCCCCCCAAAGTGGCCTCGCGGCCCTCCCAGACCCGGCTGGCCGGGAAGGCATGAACGATGGTGCATAGTCCCCCCGGCCCCCCTGCGGGAAGGTCCAGATCATTCCCCCGGATGGCAGGGTGGGGCTCCAATGGTCCGCAAGTGGTGGCAGTTCAGGCAACCCAGGGCACTGAAAGGGCCAGCCCGGCCGGACTGGGCTCTCCGTCTTGTGCCCGATCGGCATCGTGAGTGCTTTTATGAGTGCTGTGAGTAACTGGGGGCCCGGTGTCTGAGTGCTAGTGGGCGACAGTACCTGGGGCCAGATGGTACCCCAGGGCGGGGTGCGGGAGGGCCCCGGTCCCCAGTGGGGCCCGGGCAGCGTACCTGGGAAACTATGTAGTGGCCCCGGACGGGCGCATCGCCTGTTGTCGGCCCCGTCGCTGTCTCTGCGGTCTCTGCTGGGGTTGCTGGGCAGTAGTGGCTGGCAGGTAGAAGGCCAGTGGATCCGGCTATGTCATCTGGATTGGGGGAAGTTGCAGCTCCCGGGTCAGCTCCTGCAGGTCCCCTGCTTCCCGCACCAGCAAGGGGCCTGTCGGCGTGAAGATCTGCAAGCCGGTCGGGAAGGTCCAGCGGTAGCGGTGCTTGTTGGACTGCAGGATCCTCGTGAGTGGGCGCATGGCCCTGCGGTAGGCCAGTGTTGCCGGGGAGAGGTCTGGGAACAGTTGGATCAAGGCCCCATTCAGCGGTATTCGGTCCATCTCCCTGGCCCGTTGCAAGATCTCCTCCTTCAGGGGAAAGTTGGGTTCCGGATTTGCGGTGCTCTCAGGGACGCCCCGAACTCTGATGTTTTGTCTTCTGCCTCTGTTATCGAGGTCTTCGATATGGTGAGCCATCTGTCTGAGCTGGTTTGCTTGCTTGGCTATGGCGTCTGAGTTCGCCGTTTGTACTGACTGCACGTGGTCGGAGTCTGCCTCCAATTGCGAGACTCTGTGATTGAGGCCTTGCAGGTCCTCCCTCATGGCATGCAGTTCCTCCGTGATGGAGCGTTGCAGAGCCTGGTTCGCCGCCTTCAAGTCCGCCTTCGTCGGGATGTTGCCGAGCATCCGCATCCATTCCGGGGGCATCGCTGGCTCCTCATGTGGGCCGACTCCCCCCCCAGTTAGGCGTCTGGGTGAGGTCTGCGGCCTCGGAGTCATTTGAGGCCTGTGAGGTGAGGTCCGCCGGTGTGGTGAGGTAGTGCCTTATGGACGGGGCTGGGGACCCCCTCGGGGTGTCGGCAGATTTGGCCGCTTGTGTCACCCTGTGGGATTTCCCCATTTTAGTATTTGACACGCTGCACAGCGAGGATGGAAGCTGAGCCTGTGGGGAGCTCACCGTTTATGCTGCCATTTCTCTCAGCGTCCAGGCCACGCCCCCTATTGATAAGCCTTCTATGTGCAACAGTGTCAAAAGCCTTACTGAAATCTAGGTAAGCAATGTCTACTGCACCACCCTGATTAATTATTTTAGTTACCCAATTAAAAAAAAATCAATAAGATTAGTTTGGCATGATCTCCCTGAAGTAAACCCATGTTGTCTCTGATCTTGAAATCCATGTGATTTTAGATGTTCAACAATCCTATCCTTTAACAAAGTTTCCATTACTTTCCCCACTACTGAAGTAAGGCTTACTGGCCTATAGTTGCCCGACTCCTCCCTATTACCTTTCTTGTGAATGGGAACAACATTCGCTAACTTCCAATCTTCTGGGACTACTCCTGTTAACAATGATTGGTTAAACAAATCTGTTAATGGTTTTGCTAGTACACCACTAAGCTCTTTTAATAACTTTGGGTGTATTCCATCAGGTACCATTGATATGTCTTTACTTTTGACAATTGAAATAGAACCCCTTCCTCTGTAAATTCACATGTAACAAATTTGTCCTTTTTCCTAACTGAGGCCCCTTTCCTTCATTTTCATCTGTAAATACTGAACAAAAATATTCATTGAGGCAGTCAGCTAGACCTTTATCCTCTTCTACATACCTTCCTTCTTTTGTTTTTAATCTAACTAATCCTTGTTTTACTTTCCTTTTCTCATTTATGTATCTAAAAATGTTTTGTCCCCTTTTTTTACTGACTGTGGTACTTTCTCTTCTGTGTATGGTTTGGAAGCTCTTATAACTTGCTTAGCCTCCTTCTGCCTAATCTTATAGATCTGTCTATCTTCCTCACTCTGGGTTTTTTATAATTACTAAATGCTAAAATGTAGTTTTTTACTATTTTGGCCACATCTGCGGAGTACCACAGTGGTTTCTTGAATTTTTTTGCTTTTACTGGCAAGCCTAATGCAATTTTCTGTTGCCTGCAGCAGTGCAACTTTTAAATAATTCCATTGCTCCAGTCTGGCAATAACTCCTTTACACATATTCTAATTTTAGAAAAGTCTGTTTTTCTAAAGTCTAAAACTTTTGGTTTTGTGTGGTGTGACTCAGTTCACTGTTCTTATATTAAAGGACCACTATAGGCACCCAGACCACTTCAGCTTAATGAAGTGGTCTGGGTGCCATGTCCAGCTAGGTGTAACCCTTTTTTCTATAAACATAGCAGTTTCAGAGAAACTGCTATGTTTATAAAAGGGTTAATCCAGCCTCTAGTGGCTGTCTCATTGACAGCCGCTAGAGGCACTTCCGCGCTTTTCACTGTGATTTTCACAGTGAGAAGACGCCAGCATCCATAGGAAAGCATTGTGAATGCTTTCCTATGGACTGGCTGAATGCGCGCGCGGCTCCTGCCGCGCATGCGCATTCAGCCGAGGAGGGGAGAAGAGTCCCCCGCCCAGTGCTGGAGAAAGAGGTAAGTTTAACCCCTTCTACTCCCTAGAGCCTGGTGGGAGGGGTACCCTGAGGGCACAATAGTGGTCCATTAAACCACACTGACTGATGATCACTGGATCCTAAACTTTCACCTATACCAACATCTGATACCAAATCTCCATTCTGGTTGTGCACAATATTACATAAGAACGTACCCAGCCACAACAGCTGTTGAAAGTGCAACATAAGACATGAGATAACAATTGCATGTCTTTAAGAAAGATGCACAATTTAAAATAAATAAATACATTTTTAAAGAAAAAACATCAGGCTAAGCCAATATGTCTAGAGGGGATGTTTTGCACAATATTCAGTTAGTCAAGCTAAAAGTATTATGTATCCATTTTGGGTGACTAAATAAAGTGTAGGTGGTCTGGCTAGGCACAAATGTTTGAAAAGAGATCATAAAGTAAAAGGACCACTCTAGGCACCCAGACCACTTCAGCTTAATGAGGTGGTCTGGGTGCCAGGTCCAGCTAGGGTTAACCAATTTTTTCATAAACATAGCAGTTTCAGAGAAACTGCTATGTTTATGAATGGGTTAAGCCTTCCCCTATTTCCTCTAGTGGCTGTCTCATTGACAGCCACTAGAGGCGCTTGCGTGCTTTTCACTGTGATTTTCACAGTGAGAGCATGCAAGGGTCCATAGGAAAGCATTATGAATGCTTTCCTATGTGACCGGCTGAATGCGCGCGCAGCTCTTGCCGCGCGTGCGCATTCAGCCGCATGGGAGGAGAAGAGGAGGATCGGAGGAGGAGAGCTCCCCGCCCAGCGCTGGAAAAAGGTACGTTTTAACCCCTTTCCCCCTTCCAGAGCCGGGCGGGAGGGGGACCCTGAGGTTGGGGGCACCCTCAGGGCACTATAGTACCAGGAAAACGAGTATGTTTTCCTGGCACTATAGTGGTCCTTTAACTTGTATGCTAACACAGCCCTCCAGACAAATATGAGATATTAAATATATAAACAAGATGAGCACTGCGCTTAAAAAAACAGTAAATGGAAAAACAAACAGCAAAACACAGCTCTATTCATTTTAGCTAAAGTGAGTGTAGATAGGGCAGAGAGAACTATGGAGCTGGGTATTACTGCAATAGGTAAATGCAACATGCAATATAAGAAGTGCTATAAAGTCACTGGGTACATCTAATATGGTAGAATATGCCAACATGGATCCCTGCATTTCACTGCAATAAAATCACTACTATAAGTAACATGGAAATATGAGTGTACTAGCAGTTAAATAAGGTATAAGGCAACAGGCCTATGACAAGGTCCTGGAGATTGTACCCTTTTAAACCAGCATTTGGGCTTATGGACTTTTATTGGACTGTGTATGGCCCCTTAAGAACGGTCTGTGGGCACATTGTGACTTTGGTGAACAATGCCCCTTTAAGACTATGGACCCTGGAAGATATTGCCTGTTAAAGACTATTTTAGCAGATTGGATTTTAAAAGACTCTTGCTGCCCCTTTAAATTGTATTGGAACAGTTCTTCTTGACCCTCAACACGTAGTCTTGTCTCGTGATTGGAGGGGATAGCTATACTCACACTGGGGATTGCTATGCTCTGCATACTCCCCTGAGCTTTAATCACTTCGCTCTTTTAAGAGCTTGTTCCTGATACGCTCTCCTGGAGGAGAGGTCTTCCCCACATGGTCCTGGAGGACAGAAGCTGATCCATGATGGACCGAAGACGGCGAGACTCTAGTTTGGCTACGGCAGTTGTGGAGTCTGCGGTGGTTGTGGTGTCCAGTGCGGTGCTTGTGGTCCTCGGCGCAAGCTAGGAAGAGTCCATCAACGGAAGGTAGTCGGTCGGAGTACGGGGAGTTCCGTTGCAGTGGTGGCAGCAGTGGGATGGCTTCCCTAGTGCGAGGAGCAGCATCCTGGGAACACCAAGCAAGCCTGGAGTATTGGTACAGTCACGTACGGTTTGACACTTTACTGAAGAGGCGGTTGGCTTTGTATGGACCCAACCCAACGGAGCAACATATACAGAAACTGAGGAGAGACGTGGCCGAGGAGATGCAGAAGGAAGCAGAATATTGGGCAGAGATGGCGAAGTATTCTGTCACTGCGCCCCAACAACAGCGTATCCTTCAGGGAGAGGAGACAACCGGTCTCTCTCCCCAGCAGCAGTGTGTTCTGCAGGGAGAGGAGGCAGCCGGCCTCTCTCCCCAGCGGCAGTGTTCCCTATGGGGAGTGGAGGTAACCAGCCTCACTCCCCAGCGGCAGAGTGAGCCCCAGGGAGAGAAGACAACCGGTCTCTCTCCCAAGCAGCAGTGTGTCCTGCAGGGAGAGGAGGCAGCCGACCTCTCTCCCCAGCGACAATGTTCCCTACAGGGAGTGGAGACAGCCGGTCTCACTCCCCAGAGGCAGGGTGAGGAGACATCCGGTCTCTCTCCCCAGCAGCAGTGTGTTCTGCAGGGAGAGGAGGCAGCCGGCCTCTCTCCCCAGCGGCAGTGTTCCCTATGGGGAGTGGAGGTAATTGGCCTCACTCCCCAGCGGCAGAGTGAGTCCCAGGGAGAGGAGACAACTGGTCCCTCTCCACAGCAGCAGTGTGTTCTGCAGGGAGAGCTCGCAGCCGGTCTCTCTCCCCAGCAACAGTGTGTTCTGCAGGGAGAGGAGGCAGTCGGCCTCTCTCCCCAGCAGCAGCTTATCCTACCAAGGGGAGACATCAGTCTCCCAGACGATACAGATGGGACCATAGTCTCTGTACTTGACCCACAGGGATGCCGGACAGCCTGTCCAGATCCCCAACTACCATCGCCGAAGTACCAGGAGGAGGGGGTAAGTGATGTCTCGTCTCCCCAACCAAGTCTCCACAGCGTGTTGCTCCATCACCCCAGAGGAATACCCAGGTGCAGTAACTATTTGTTGTGGGTGGGCTACTCTGGCACTTGCTTTTTGTGGGTGGATTGACTAACTTAGGCACTGACCGACAGAAGGTCAGGCGCCTGGTTAGTCTTCCCCCCAAAGGGGAGATGTGTGACGAGGTGCCCCTCGCCACTTGGTCCTGGAGAGGCTTGCTTGCCAGCCTCCTCCCCTGCGACTATGGCCTATGCTCTGCATACTCCCCTGAGCTTTAATCACTTAGCTCTTTTAAGAGCTTGTTCCTGATACGCTCTCCTGGAGGACAGAAGCTGATCCAGAGTGGACAGAAGACGGCGAGACTCCAGTTAAGATACGGCGGTTGTGGAGTCTGCGGTTGTTGTGGTGTCCGGTGCGGTGCTTGTGATCTTCGGCGCAAGCTAGGAAGCGTCCATCAACGGAAGGTACTCGGTCGGAGTATGGCGAGTTCCGTTACAAGGCCAAAAGCAAAATAAAAAATATCAGGACACTACTGCAGCCTGTGAGTGTAGCATGTGGTTGGCCTCCTTGCATTAATCTCCTTTTAGCCAATCCCTAATAGTGGAAAGCAGCTGGAGTATGTTGGAGGATCAACGCTGTTCCGTTGCCCCAGGCAAATTACATGTTGGAGTGCTGTGTGAGGTCTTCTGTGCCAGTAGTTTTCACCTCCAGCGTCCAAAATGCTATTTGATCTGCACCCATGCTGCCATGGATTATCTGCCTCGGTTCTGTCTGAGAGCAGGTCCGATAGAGCTTCACAAGTCGGGGAGCCCTCTGTATGCCTAACTGGCACGGCAGGGGTGTAAGGTCGGTGGTAAATTCGCCTCCAAAACCTTTGACAGAGAGCATTAAATCGCTCTCTCCATTTCTGGATGACTGTACAGTCCTGAAGCTTCTGAGGGTGAGAAGCGGCAGCCATGTTATGCTCACCACCCGGTTGGCATTTCGGCAGGGGAATTTTCTGTGCTAGTGGCCCGCATAGAAATATCCCCACATTTCCATCCATATACCCAGGGGAAGATTCATATCCTGGTGGAACCGTGGGCCTCTGATCCTGCTGCTCGGAGCAGGAGGATGCATGGACATAAAGCACTGGATCCCATTAAGGCCTTGGGCCGAGGCTGCGTGGAGTTGATGCACTCTCTATCAGCAACAAGACACTCAGCAAAGCCTGACATATCTGGTGATGGAGAAAGGTGTAAGACTCTCGGTTATGGCCTTCCTGCAGCATGGGATAGAACAAGCCAGCCACATCCCTATACATCGATAGTATTCTCTAGCTAACCTTTGCAAAGCTTAGCGTTCATGTTTCTGTTATTTTCTTTTTATGCTCATTAATATCCAATGACACTTATTTAATTGTTTATAGTTTCAATCTGACAATACCATAAAATATGTGCAACCTATAGAAGACACAACGTAGTGTGCATTAAAACGTACATGACATTTTTAGCTGACATTACCCTTCTGATAACTTCAGACATATGTATTCACTTAAAATGTAGCCATACATGCTGTTTGGTTTACTGTACTGTGTAATAACCTGCTATGCTACAATAAAAAAATAAAAAAATAAAATTATAAATTGATAAAACCAGGGATTCCTTTTATTCCAATATTACTAATTATAGATCACTTGACAATTACCACATTTACTAAACTCTCTGGATAAGAGTACTATAGAAGAACTTAAATAAATACATGATGTATGTTTGTGCACTGCCAGAGTATAAAAATAATTTCAACAAAGACATTTATCTCTGAATGCCCCCATTTCCGTAACATGGGCCCAAAGACACTGTTTTAAATGGCATCTCTTTGCCATAAAGAGGTGTTATAGGATAAATGGCACAGCTCTTCGCATTCTATAGAAGTGTGACCAGAAAAGTCACTTGTTTCAACAAATCAAGTTACTCGCACATATTGGATGCTGTAGTTTTTTTTTTAAAAGTACATGAAAACTACTTAGAAATGTTGGCGAAAGCTGCACAAATGTATCACATCAAGGAATATTTTTTTTTAGGAAATACACAGCAACATTTTCTTCTTTACTTGACACAATACTGTAGTTAAGATGCAGGTGCATCAAGAAAAGAAAAAAAAATAACTAAAACAAGATGATGAGATACTCTCTTGCATTTAACTTCCACTGTCCCTTTAACAAATTCATCAGAGAAAAGGCCTATTGCAATAGCTAAATCAGGAGAATATGAACTCATTGTTTGCATGTAAATAATGTAAAAACCCCTTCAAAAATAAAGCCAAATAGCATTCTTTTTAATATATCAGTTTTGGAACTGATAAATTTAATCTCTTTAAACTTGAGGAGTTGGTGAATGTGGACCATGGCCATGTGGTACTTCATTAGCTTTTGTGGATTAGTACTTTTATAGCTGCCCATCCGTGTTCAGACACATTTGTTAAAAATGTATTCACACGCCTAATGACCATGATATCCCAAAAAAATATGCTTTTATAAATAAAATTCTGTAAAATGTAGCCCTTCTCTTGGCAGTAGGTCTATGAGTTTTTACAGTAACACGACAATGATCATAAATTGGAGATATACTAAACTAGGTCTTCACAGGTCTGAGATGTATGAAACATGGAAATATTGTCCTGTATGGCTGTGGTCTGTGACAAATGGTCACAGGTCACTGAAATATGACATAAAAAAATGCAGCTGAGGTCTCAGACACAGACATAATATATATCTGAATGATGTCAGACATGGAAATGTACAAAGAACTGTAGATGCATCTTCTTCCACTTTAACTCCAATGTCCATGGATGGTGTCCATCGTTAATCACAGAGAAGGTATTCAGGCACTACGTGAATTCCTGGCAGTCTCGCATTCTTCTGTCACTCGTGGACTCTGATTCCACCACCTCACTCTGTGTTAGTGCTACCTGGGATGGTGGAGGATGAGGTTTTTGAACCACTTGCTGACAGCACAGTCCACCCGCAATACTAGGGCAATGCCAAGGCAAAGGAAAATGCTGCTAACTGTGAATCCCAGAGCCTCAAAAAGGAACCTAGGTATACGAGAAAACGAAGATCAAATATATAGAATATTTGTAAGCAAGAGTAAATTAAATTATAAATGAAGAAAAAAAGTTCAATAAAAATAACCTACTGTAAACCATATTCATGTATCATATAAGATTGAGTTTATCAGGAACATATTTTACAGACCACTACACACTTGGCTTACCACAGAGGCGCTAGGGAGCAGTCAAGTAATGTGAACTTACTTTGGTGCAAACACTTTCCAGACCATGAGATGACGACGAAGAATCATGGCTGCACAAACACATGACAGAAGCTGTAGAAAGAAGAGAAGCGGGTGAGAGCACAAACAAACCTGCACATCTAGGTGCACCAAATGTGATTTACATGACTCCCACCTGTTTGGTTTAAAGAGACACCAAAAAATAATTGGTGTTTAGATATACCCCCAATGAAAACATGCATTTTATCCCCATACAAGCTATATGTCTGCAACCTCTGCAAGCCCTCCCCGTCTAACCCCGCCCAGATTTTCTGTGGCTGTCCAATCACAGACTTCCCAATGCAGCTCAATGAGACGTCTTTGCAAAGCAGGTGCTCTATTGAGTTTATTGCTGCCTATTGAGTTCAGCTCCAATGAGTCACCCAGGGGGTTGTAACAAGGTTAATTTAGAAAACTGCCAATTTCTATTGAAATCTGCATTTTGTTGTGCAAATTGAGGACACAACCTTCACACAAAGCATTTCAGCAAGCTTAATTCCTTTTTTAATAATGTGTCCTGTTCAGTAAAAGCAGACCCCTCCGTCCTGCATTAATGGTTATGTGAT